CTAAACATTAACAATGGATAGAAAATGGAGAGACCAGCAATGCATGAGCTTCAGTGATCTCAAGGCATTGCCGCTTATTGCACTAATCAGTCAGTGAAGACATGCACTCATCTGTCGAAACAAACCACTGGGTTTAATATCAGGGTTCCCAACAGCATATTTCATCATAGGTCTTCACTATATGGAAATTCAGGCCACCGAGCTAGTCTTTCATCAGCGTGTCTGCTGTTTGAAAGACATCTGGGCCTCCTCCACTGTGTGGCACATATCAGCACAAAGCTGGTTATGCTGAAACACGCTAAAATTATACTAATATTAACCTGATACGCTGACTTCTAATGTGCATAATGGCAACAGAGGGAAACTGTGTTTTGAAACTAATTTAACTCCTTATTTACAAATATATGAGAAAAGCAACTGCGATGGACTGGCGACGTGTCCAGGGTGTACCCCGCCTCTCATCCGTAGACAGCTGGAGATAGGCACCAGCACCCCTCATGGACCCACTCGGGATTAAGCGTGTAAGAAAATGGATGGATGGATGGATGGATGGATGGATGGATGGATGGATGGATGGATGGATGGATGGATGGATGGATGGATGGATGAGAAAAGCCCTGTGAAAATGTGAACCGCACTCCTTTTCTGGGCCCTTCTAAGCAGGTGAACACATGAACCACCATCCTGCCAGCAGAGAGCAACTTTTGAAATCTGGTTAAAATGACCACATTCTGAAAGATTCCCAATCGGGCGATTTGTCAAGCCGAAATACCAAATAAAAGACGGCATTGTTCTGCTGGTGTATTTTCACCTCCAGATCCGTCCCTGAAGCACCATCCCAACCGGAATCACAATCCATAACATCGACTCAGTTGCGCATGTGCAAGCAGATATTCATCCAGGTCACAATAAAAATATAATTATGGTACTAAAAGTACTTTTTTTCTACCCCTAAATCGATAGATAATGCTAATACACATCTTTAAAATGTTTTGTGACTTTCCCTAGAAGATTTGATGCTTTTTACATTTTCTCAGTTAAACTGCTTGTCTGACGTCATCATCGGACATGCTCAGAGCAGTCTGGCAAAATATGATTAGACCATGTTTATCTGCATTTGAATTGTTTCTTTCTTTTAATTAGGCACTATATACTATACGTTTAACATGAAAGGAAAAAATGAAACTCAAAAAGAAAAGATATATGTTTAAATTCAAAGTTGATAAAGTAGTGTAGGATCCGATTACCCGCACAGACCGGACACAGACGAGACGAGGGATAAAACAGAAAGGGTTTTAAGGCATTTATTTTCCCAGGAAACACATTATTAACCTTTAAGGCATTATAGTTTAATACACTTACTATTTTTATGGAGGGAGAAGTGTAAATTAGGTCGTTTTTACTAAGTAAAATCAAGGGCGACCCGGATATATATCTGGTTATGCATGCGCAAATGAGCTGAAGGTATGGATCTTGTAGTGACATGTATAACCACAGCTGCAGATGGATCAGAACAACAACTCTGGGTAAATAGAATTGTCCGCATATTAAGGGAAGATATAAACATGGCCTATAAGAAGGAAAAAACAGAGAAGAAAAAGGAGTGGGCTTAATTACTAAATAGACAAAAGAAAAGAAGGAAGGACAACAGTTTCCTCGAACCAAGCCGATAATCATATCAATAAAAGATGCTGGATGAGGGTTTAAATCAGAGAATGACAGACTCTAATGTAACACTACTGACATTTATGGATGCCATCTACTGTGTCTCATTCAACCAACCTCTTTGAGCAAAACAATCTTCTAACTTGTTGGGTTTAGCTGTAATTCCCAAACAACACTTTCCAAGAACACCACATAATTCCCAGAGCAGGATCCTGTATGAAATGCTGACAATGTTTAACAGACAGCCCTGTTTCCGTACACAAACATTTGTTTTCTGTCTCTTCAGACAGTCCCACAGGCAACAAGACAGGGAAATCATGACACGTTGTTAACATAATCTCCATGCTGTGTCAGGATTTCCCCTAATCCTGATTCATTCCTGTTATCTGCTTACTAATATTACACTTAACTGCAACCATGGAGGGTCATTTAAATGGCTTGTTATGCTGTTCCATATACTAATCTATTTAAAGCTACAGTGTGTAATTTTCAGCGACATCTAACGTCCAGACTGCAGACTGCAGCAACATGAACGTCTCCCCCCCACCGCTTCTCCCCCCCAACAGTACGGCGAGCGTTAGGGGACAAAATGTCTTCCACGACGTCGGAATCACCTACCTTCTCAAGTGATGAGGTTTGTTTACATAGATCATTTTACAGATAGTATTTCATTAGTCTGTGTAGGGTATAGATTTCATGTAGACTTTAGATAATAAATATACCCGTTATTTTTTCTACATCGTTGTGACGTTTTAGTGAGCTGCTTTGCATGGTGATATAAACAGATGAAGTAATTGTAGTCATTAGTTTAACAGCGAGATTGTGTTCACTGGAAGAATATATATTCCCCGTTTACAGAGTCCAAGTCTTGTTTGTTGCACGGGGGTTATAAGGCGAGGAAGAGGGAGAGGAAGAGGGCGAGGAAGAGGGAGAGGAAGAGGGCGAGGAAGAGGGCAGAGAGGCCGGGGTGGGCGTGCAGCTAGGGCCAGGCGAGGGAGGGGTGCCAGCGGGGCGAGAGCAGAGGAAGAAAGGCTTGAAGATCTCCAAAGGAGCCGGAGAGAAGTAACCGAGGTATATATCCAGAAAATTATTTTACAGAAAATTACTGAATCATTACCTGTGAAACGTCAGGGACGTTGCTGAATAAGTATACTGGAGAGTAACAGCATCATCACGCAGCATGTTATTGTTTTAGACAGGTCTGAGCATCCTGTACTCCAAAAACTGCAGTGATATTAGACAATTGTGTGTGTAGGATTAATTACCTGTCCAAGAGAAAACTGGCAACTTGAGCGTCACTTTGAAAACCTTTTTCCTCCATCAGTGACTTCCATCGTGTAAATGCCGTGCCAATGTTGATCCGTGTTTTTTGTCGTTTCTTGTCACGATTGCGTTTATTCTCGTCGTGTTTCCGCTTCTTAGATGACGGGGGTTCGGTGTCCGACGCTTTTCGTTGTGATACAGAGTAGGCATGATCCTCCATTCGTCTGATGTTTGGCCACACAGTGCCAAACAGTTTGCAAAGTCACTCACGCCTGCCGCCTTGTTCACCTTTCTTGTTACTGAGGCGCAGTATACCTGCTTCTTCTTCTTCTTTGGTTTCAGGCAGACTAAACGCTTCTCAGGCATAGTACTGCCATCTACTGTTCAGTACCGTCTCAGTTAATCTCTCTCAACTTGCCGTAGTTATTTTCGAGCGTAATGGGAGATCTCGCAATCGCTAGTTTGTTGCTTCTGCGCTTGCCGTAGCGCAAAGATGTCAGCCTCCATGGCTGCGAGACCCGCTCCTATGTAATTATAAATAACGAATTCTAAGGCAACGCAAATATTATGGTTAAAAGGCTGAGCTCATAGGTGATGATAAATAACATAGTTATGTATAATATATTAAATTTCTGACTTTATATCCCTGTAATTATTACACACTGTAGCTTTAAGTTTCGTGTAAGGTTCATCAGTTATAATGAAGATGAAGGAAAATGCTAAACAAAGCAGGTAAGAACCCATCCCTTGAGTAGATTTTGTACAAAAATGTAAAAATTACTAGACCTAAAGACTCAAAAACCTTTAAAAGAAATACACACTATTACTTTATTAGAACATAACATCAGCAACTAAAAATATTTTAAGGACTCCAGTGTAAAAACAACAAACAGAAAACCTAGAATGTTATCTGTGAGTAACTGAAATGCATGGTGTTCTACAATGTAATCTATTACTAGCAATAGATTAGAGATGCACCAATCCGATATCTGGATTACATATCGACTAATTAGCTATCAACGACAGAGATCCAATACAGTGTACTTTACAGGGAACTGTTATTTCTTCCTTTTTGCTGCTTATTTATTCATAAATAATACAAAGTACATTTATATCTGTGTTCAATGTTACCTTTTTCTCACATTGTTTACCTCATGGCTAAAATCTTTACTCACATGGCAAGATATATGGTTCATTCATTCAACGATTGAATTGGATCGGTATCTGATATCAGCAGATACGCTCAGCCCAGGTATTTGGATCGGAAATAAATGGATATGTGCATCTCTAGTATAGATGGGGAGACCAACGATCGACAGAATGAGCAGAAGACTTTACAGGCAAACCTTGGGAGACGTCGATACGTCAGACGTACAAATGAATTGCGACAGGTTTTTTTTTCATACTTTTAAATTTTCAGCCTATCCAGGCATTGGGATCTTTTAAGTTCCATAGTTTCTCAGTTCATGTAAATAGTATATCTGAGATGAATTATGAAATCAGTTATTTAGAGGAAACAATTAATTTGAAATGAAATCATCAAGAGGAAAATTTTGATTTTTATGGGCCCCTCTCCCATCATGGACCCAAAGTAGGCAGGTTCACTTCTTTCCCCATTACCACATTCCTGGAAAAACTATTTAATCTTCGGGTGTAGGCCAGTAAAGCACAAAAGCTTGGAATAAGAACACTTAACAATGTACAACAAACAGCCACAGGGGTATAAGCTCTAATTATCATTAACTATTTATACCTCTTCATATCCTCTATTACCTGATAAACTATCCCTGAATGTAGGTAAACTCTGTGTTTTCAGGTGTCTAGCCCATCCCCATCTAGATAATTCTGCACATACCCACAGTGACACATACCTAACATATTTTTACTATCCTCTCCGACAGCTACCAAACAGGCAGAACGGTTTCAGCATGTCTGCATGATGATTCAAGGTTTCCTCCTATATCCTTGAATTGCATTTTAAGTTTCTGATAACTTTCCACCGCACGCTTTAACTTTGATTTCATGCGTTTAGACTGGTGGAGTCCTGCTGCAGGTATAGGTGACCTACTCACCCAGTAGCAGGATTTTTATTTCTCTCCTCTCCTTCTTCTTCTGCTGCCTGAGGATCCTCTGGATTTCTTTGTCCACAGCGATTGCTGTCTTCTCCTCCTCTGACAGACAGCACGCACAGGTGCGGTAGATCCAGCCACAGCAGCCAGCCATGAAGAAAACTTATGAAATCCACCTGTTAGTAAATAAACGAATAATAATGTTTTAAACAGCTATGGTTATAAAGCTGTTATTAAGTATCACTTCCATACGACTGTAGTTATCGCACATCATTTCATCATACTTGGGAATATTTATTGATGCTGTATATAAAACTCTATATAGGCTACAGAACAGGTGCTGTAACTTAACACCGTTTCAATACAACAGGTGTTTTGTGTTCATCTAGAGCGTTTTATGGTTCTTATCTTAAGATAATAACTTGTAATCAGAGCGTTTCTTTTAAAGACTAAAGTGCCTTTTAGCTACTTCTTTGTATTTGATCTGCTTACCTTCAATCAGAGCGTCAGACTTCCTGGAGAGGGTACAGGTACAGGCTCTGACTCCTTTAAGTTATCCATGGCCCACCTTGTTCCCCCGCAAACTAGTTCCCCTCTCCACCTGAGGCTACCAGCGAACGGCGGCCGTCATTCCCTCCGCTGATGCCGGGTTTCCAATGTGAACAACACACCGGACAGATGAGAGCCAGCCGCGCCTACAGAGGAATGCGCTGCCTCCCTGATCCGCTGAGCGCGCTCTGGAACTGGAATGTGCGCGCGGTGAAGCTGCGCACAATCAGGCAGAAATCACGGAAATGCGCCCTCCACAATAGAAGCGCGTCCTTTCCGTGCTCTAAGTGTAAGACGCTATTGCGTCATTTTAAAATTGGACATAGGGACTATAACTGGCCCAATCTGACGGTATGCAGCTGCTTGAATCGCTTTGTTATAAACAGATGTTCTTTCTGAGATGAAGAACAAGACGATGTATGGAAGACTGACATGCACCTTCAAATTAGAACTGTGTATTTGTTTTTTCTTTGACGATTTCAAATAAAAACAATATTTTTTTTACAAATTTAAAACTAGTAATAATTTTACATATTGCTGTTCTTTGTAATCTATCTATCTATCTATCTTTATATAGATATAGATAGGCTAAATATGCTTGTGAATACTTTTTTTTAAACACATCAAAATCAAAAGTAATATTCAGATTAGCAAAATGAAGTAGGCCTACACTATATTACATTTCATAACAAAACAATTTTAAGAGCAAATATCATTTGCAACAGGAGTGATGTTTTGGGACCCAAATGTTAACTGAGGATTGTTAGTAAAATGGCTAATATGAAGGTAATGTTTATTTTATCCTGACTTCTTCTTTTTAGGATGTAGCCGTCACACTTTAGAATGTGTAGAATATTGAGTTTTTTGTTTATAAAACAAAATACGATTAGTAATAGGATTTGCATTTTTATTCACATAATTGCCATCCTGAGCTGCAATGCTTGGTTATAATTTTTTATCTCATGCAACGGATATGTGCAGCTGTAATTTCCAGAAGAAAAATAGACACATAAAATAGAACAATTATTTTGAAGGTACCAAAGCAGAAGTGAAATCTTTTAAAACATGTTTGACTTTATGGTGTTATGACTGAGTCTGCAGAGCCTGTGGATAAAGTTTCGGCCGCTGCAGAAGCTCACTGCTTCACATTTCAGCCCAGTTCAAGTGAAACCACCGACCACAACCGTTTTGTTTTGCTTTTATATCTAAGTGAACTAAACAGCGGATTTGCATTGGCTCTTTCTTTTCATGTTCTTTTCCACCCTGTGATTGAGAACATCTATTGCATATTCTGAGGAATAAAAATTCATTTTGGACATTAATAGAACACAATAAAAATATATAGGCAACATTAACAACTATATTAAGCACTAACAATATGGGGGAAAAAATCATGTATCTCTCAAATTATAACAAGCACTAATGGGACAATGAGAAATACTGATGTCAATTAAATCTTTCAATGTGGTGCATAGTAAGCTTAGATTTGTTTTATTTCACCTTTGCTAAATAGGAAAATCTCACTGAGACACAAAGTCAGAAATTTTTAAAGGGTGCAACTGTGATTTTGTCGCATTGTCTCCTTGGCTATCATCTGGATGTCAACTCTTTTGTTGGAGCCTGCAGAACCGGTTTATCCAGGCTTTTTAGATTTTCTGATCCTCTGGGCTCTGCCTGAAAAGGGTGAGGCGAGGAAAAAAAGTATGGTTGGATGTTTTTGGTCTTAAGTAATCGGAGTACTTAGAATAAGGAATATGTTTAACAAACTAAGGTTCACTGGAGTTTTGTAACTTTTGTCTTTAAGAATTGAGTTGAAAAATAAATAATTCATGCAGTCAAATAGAAATTTCAAGAAAGTGGAAGTCAAAAGGACAGGTGAACTAAAAAATGAGGAGGTGGGCAGTGATTGCTGAGAGGCTCAGTCTGAATAATCACCTTCTGTGTGTAAAAGCTGTAGCCTGTAACTAGAAACTTCAAGTAGTTTTCAGATTGGCTCAAGGACAGAGTCTGAAGGGCTTTGTTGGAGAGGTGTGTATGGGAAGACAAGCACTGGATGAGTTGATGAATGGTGTGGCAATAGTTTTTGAACCTATGAAATAGCAGGGGAGCAACAAGTTATAGTCTAGTGCTTACCAAGTTAATGGCGACTGCATTCCAGTAATTCTAAAGTTTTTATGGAAGGAGGGTTATGATTGTTGTTGTCCAATCAAGAAAACATGTTTTTTTGTAATATCATTGGTTATATTAAGAGTGTTTCCTCTCTACCGCCCCTTCCAACTTGCTTGAGCTTTAGCATTTTTGGCACTAAGTTATGAATAAAAAAGACAGGAAAATTCAAATTAATAACCTAAATACTGCATCCATTTAGTCATTAAGATTTTCCACTTTTCACCTGACCCTAAAAAGGCCACAGTGGAAATGTGTTGGTCTCTATTAAAATGTTTTCCTCCACTTCAAGTTTTTTCCTCACCAGATTTTCACCTTTTATATCAAGTAAGGTTTTGTGCAATTAATTATATTTTGCAACTTCTGGGGAAATAACTCTTAAAGCTGCGGTATAAGGAGTCATTTCCGACAATCCACTTTAAACATGACTGCACTTCAATATATAAGGAGAGGCATTAATGAGCAAAATTCAACATAGTGGAGCATCTTTAAAATAAATTAGAGCAGTGTTTGTGAGACAGCCCATCTCATCCAGCATAAGGGCTTTTCTTAATTGTTGATCAAATGTTCATATAAATACATATAGATATTGTGGACAGTTATAGCTGCACATCTTTAAAGGGTATTCCGACTTAATATTATAGTCAACTTATTAAGAAAGGGATGTCTATAAAGTTCATGGCAAACCTAAAAAATACTTGCAGGAACACATTTGATATAAAAATAAATTTTAAACATGCCCCCCTAAATTATACAGTGCTTTATTAGAAATAATACAAGAGCAAAATCAAATATTTTTATTTTGCTGTATATAGTGAAAAATAAATGTTTTTAATCAATTTACTTTGAAAATACACCTAAAAATATATAGATATGTTTGTAATATGATGGAATACATGGAAAAGAAACTCAAAAACTGTAAACTGGAAATGTGGAAAGAGAGCAGGGAAATCCTGGATAGTGAATGTGAGAAGATACTTAGAGGAAAGAACCAGCTTCATTCTTCTTGAAGCAGCCATTTGATGTCATTGCTGGCAGGCTGTGAAGAATTTGCTGGAGTGAAATGACACCCTTCTTATTGGTGTCATGAATATGCAACAGGAGACAAACTGTCTCTGTCATGGTGAAGTGCTAATCGGAAGATGATCAGTGCGTCAGCTCTCAGATGGGGTGACAAACATGACTCAAGACAAAGCATTCAGGGCATTTTTCCTCTATATACACTCCATAACTGCAGTGTTTTAAGCAAGAGAACTACCGTAATAGAACCTGGCATTTTTCAGATCAGTGTTAAAAGATCTGTGTCATCTTATACTGTTACCGATTTCTTCTGAGGTAATAGAGAATGATTAAGAGGAAATTCTCATATTTGCAGAAGTGAGAAACACTTGTGTTCTTACACTTCCTTTCACAAGTATAGGAGAGATAGTATACAGAAACCCCCTGAAAGCAAAACACATTTAGATTTATTTTGCTCACAAAAGTAAAACAAAGTGTATAGCCATAGCACAAATGGAAAGAGGTTTATTATTTAGAATATGGTGCTTTTTAAAGTAAAAGTGAAGTTTGTGTTTGTTTAAGCTCACCAGTGAATGAATGGGTTTGTCAGTTCAAAAGGTGGAGCCAAGCTGGCCCAGGCTGTACCCTGAGTGAGACTTGGGCATGCAGGACTAAAATGTCATGAGTCACGCCTGAACATCTTCCCAATCATACCAAACATACCAAGTGTTTGTTAACATCTGTCACGTGTCTGTTTGCCAGGCTGCAATGTCAGTTTGTGGCATTTGAGTTGTGTGAAATGAAATCTTGAAACAGTGGGACAGTGTCTAACTTTTTTTCAGTCTGTAACTATGTATTAAACACCATCAGTGAACAAAGGAAATGGATTGCACATTATTTTGAATCGTGTACTTTCAATTTCAATTCAGTTTATTTATATAGCACCAATTCACAACACATGTCTTATCAAGTCACTTCACATCCAGACCATACTGTTTGATTGGTTCAAAGTGTTCTATCTGAGGAAGACCAGCTGATTGCATCGACTCATTGCCTCGACTGCAATCCCTCACACCAAGCATGCATATAGTGATAGTGGAGAGGAACATTCCTTTTTAAAAGGAATAAACCTCCAGCAGGACCAGGAACAGTGTGGGAGGCCATCTTCCAAGGCTAATTGGGGTTCAAGGAGACAGAAGCAGACATACAAAAACAAGCAGCTATATAAAAAGTAACTGTTAACTAGCCCCACAGACGGCCCGTCCAGGAAACACACGGCCAAGCAGAACACATAGAGCAAGAACACATAGAGTTAGTCATAGTAAGAGAAACAGGACTACACTGAAAAACAGCCCAAGCTCCAACATCCATAAACAAACATGTTGATGGCAGCAGCACAGCTGACGTTTCTCTTGAGGGTGGTGTAACAGCCGATCCAGAACAGACCAGATGAAGCTACTTTGAGAAAAAGCAGAGAGAGCATAAAGTTAGAGGTTGAACTAACAAATACTGCAGAATGGGAGAACAGAGATAAATGAGAAAGAATGATGAAAAGTGGTCTCCTGGTCCCCCAGCATTCTAAGCCTATAGCAGCATTAATATAGCTCAGGATAACCCGAGGCATTTTAACTATAAGCTTTATCAAAAAGGAAAGTTTTAAGCCTACCCTTAAAAGTAGACAGGGTGTCTGTCTCACAGGCTAAAACTGGTATTTGGTTCTACAGTAGAGGAGCCTGATAACTAAAATATCTGCCTCCCATTCTACTTTTAGAAATTCTGGGAACCACTGGTAAACCTCCAGATTAAGAGTGAAGTGGTCTGCTAGGAAAATATGAAATTATCAGATCACGGATTTAAGATGGGGCTTGGCCTTTTAAAGGCTTTATATGTGAGAAGGAGGACTTTAAATTCTATACTGGATTTAACAGGAAGCCAATAAAGAGAAGCTTGGATAAGAGAAATACGATCTCTCTTTTTATCAGAACATTGGCTGCAGCACTGTGGATCAGCTGAAGCCTTTTAAAT